GTCTTCTCACTATACTTACCATGTGTGGTATCTTTGTGCGACTGAGATGTCTTATGTGCTTATCTGTGTATTGTGATACTCTGCATTATGTCTTTGTGATTTATGCTGAGTATTATTATTATGAGCTTCCTGAGTTAGGACCGGAGGGTCCACCCGAGTTGTGGGACCGGGGGGTCCCACTGAGACACATTGACCGGAGGGTCTTATCTGAGTATAGCCATGAGAGGCTACTGAGATGTGTGTGGTATTTTGGGGAACTCACTAAGCTTCGTGCTTACCGGGTTATGTGATATGTGTTTCAGGTACATTTCATGATATCGGGAAGGCGTCGGCTTGATTGTACACACGAGAGAAAGAGTTATGTTTGGGGGATCCTGGATTTGTGATAAACAATTTTAAATAAAAATGTGTTGATAAATCGTTACTTGTGATTTTGAGGAAATGTGACATCTGTTTTATTGTATTTGAAATGAAAATTTTGTTTGAAAATTTACGGTGTTACAAGTCAGCACCCGGATATGCTTGGCAGTATGATTGTTTTGTATGTGATATGGTGGGGGAACTCAATATGCTTTTTGCTTACGTTTTTCAGATTATGTTTCAGGTACTTCTATTTTCAAATGGAAGAGCTCGGGATGATCGCATCGCATCACACCATGATTTCCACAGTAGAGATTTTGGGACTTATGCTCTGATAATACTTTTATGTGTTTTGTTTTGATTACATACTATGATCATCTTATGTTCACATTGTTTTTGAAATTGATGATGTTTTGGGATATGGGTCTAGTAACTTTAAAAATGAAAATTTTGGATCATATTTTTTGGATGTTACAATATAACTTAAAAGACTGGTAAAAATAATGAAATACTTAAAACATGACTTAAAACATTACTTTTTTTTTTGGGGGGGGGGGGATAAGCACTTGCACAGTGCTCAACTTTTATGGGTTCAAATATATATATATATATATAACGATAAAGACTTTTTTTTTCTGACTTGTCCTGAGTATTTGAAGATCATTTGAATCCTCAAAACCGGCCCTGATATGTATATAAGAAAATAACATATACATTCATACTTTACGTAAATAGGGTGCAAGATGTTGGACTTATATACATAATAGAATATTTTTCGATGTCATATTCGACTTGTCATAAAAATAGATACAATTGTTTCCATGTAAGTTTGGGCAAAATAAAATAAATAATAACAATCTTTTTAAAATATGTCAGTTTTGATGCTCAATAATCTTTTGTTTTGATGCTCAATAATATTTTGTTATAGTTGAATCCTTAATTTTGCCCGAGCTTGAAAGATAAGTATGATATAATTTATTTAGGGTAGAGGGTTAATGTACTATCATTTTAATTTTTGTCTACCACAACACTATTATATTGGTTTCCCATACACCATTTTCAACATGCCATTTAGACTTTTATTTAAACAACAAAATTTTATAAAAAAATAAAATTTCATTAATTAAATTGAAAATTACTACCACTTAAAATATAACTTAAAAAGACTGATAAAAAAGAATGAAATACTTAAATCATGACTTAAAAATATGACTTAAAGCCTACATATCTTATAACATTTCTAATTGGAACTTTTTTTTTTTGTGACTTATTACTATTTTTTTTTAAATAACCATTCAACCACATCGGAGTATATAGCTTATTTGGTTTTTTTAATTAACCATTCAATATATTGAGTGGTCAATATATTATGTTGGTTTGAACAGGTAACACCTTCTCTTTAATAACATATCATACTATCCTTTAATTATATTAAGGTTTGAGATATTTTTTATTGTTCCATATAAAAGTTTATATATTACAAATGTTTATATATTACGAATCATAATAAAGTTTAATACAAACCATAACAACCACATTAATATTTATAGTAAGTTTTAATACATATAATGGAGTTTTATAAAACATTATAAATGGTCAGGGATAGATTAGTTAAATTTTCAAAAAAAAAAAACAAAACAAAACAAAAGGTTAACCATTAGAGATGCTATTTAATTTGGAGTGAAAGTTAACGTATTAATGACGTAACATTTATTTTGAGTCATATATAGGTTAACCATTAGAGATTCTTTTAGCGATTATGTTTTTTTTTTTGTAATTTCGTCTTTACATTCTCCGCAATTTGATGTTCATTCTTGGGTAAGCGAGAAACATATTTCATTAAGAGCTTATAATCACTGTCTTTTTTTATTTTGTGCAATCTTTGATAGTTTTCCGATATTCATATTTAAGCGGTCAAGCTCCAATTTCATATCATCACCTTTGACTTAACCATCTTTGACACCTTTTTTGCTTTTTTTTTTTTATGCGATCTTCAATAGTATTTTGATATTCATATTTAAGCGGTAAAGCTCCAATTTCATATCAATAGTTTTTTTATATTCATTTTATAGTAACGATTATCATATTAACATAAATAAGTTACATAAGTATGAACGCTTTGTAATGAAATACTTTTAATAAAGAATATACGTGTATCTTTCTAAAACAAAGAATGACAACTACACATAGTATGTCTGTAAGATGGATGTTTTTATAATAAAACAATCAAAAACTGGTTCTTTATCGTTTTTAGCTAATTCCCATCTTTTGCTTCCTAAACACGATTTTTTATTCCTGCAAATCTCTAGCTAATTACCCATCTATATACCATCTATTTTGGTTATTGGTGTTTGAGGTTTTATTTTGAAGATAAAAATAACTTTTATTCTAAATGAATTATTGACTTATAAAGGTATAAAAAAAGAGTTTTAAAAAAAAATGTTTAGATTAGTTTTTATAGTTGCAAAAGTCAATAAGTCAATAAATTAAAAAGACGTTTGGTTTAATTTTGTCTTTTGTCTACTTTGTAAACCTAATAAGTCATAAGTTGTTTCAAACGTTATAAATTATGACTTCTTAAAATCTAATTTTTTCTTAAAATTTAATTTTTAAAGACTAAACAAAAAGTTGTTTTAAAATGTCTTTTTCTATACTCAAATACTTTTTTTTTTAACTTATTGATTTTTCAAGAAATCAATAAGCTAAAAAGTTATTGTTAGATAAACAACCAAACACCCTCTTATTAAGTATCATATAAATTAAAAAACAACAACAACAATAGTTGAGACAAGGCAACAAATGATGATACGATTAACCAATGATGGAACCTTGATTAACACTAGGCTTTAACACATTAACGATGTTAGAGTGACAAGTCATTGGAGTATAACTTATGATGTAACTTTTGTATTATAATGAAGCCAATCATGGAACTTTGACTAACTTCACTCCAAGTTTTTCTTCCCATGGAACATGTACACTTATATGTGGTCCCATTTAATGCTCCTAAACATCCTTATAGCCGAATAAATATTTCATTTGAGCATTTCATCAAACACATAATATGCATGTAAATGAAGTGTTGGGAATTGATAGAGAAAGAATGAGAAAAGAAAGCAATGCATACCTCTCAATTCAAATCCACTTTCCTTGTACTAAATCGATTTTACAACACTTTGTTCACACTATTCAAATTGACAACCATCTATTCTGATGATCATTTGTAGTTTTAACTTTTAACTTTTAATAGACCCTTCTACCAGAGAGATATAAGAAGCATAATCATAAATTACTCCTTTTTCACTTCTTAATTTCTCCAAAACCTCAGGATCTCCATATTTACAGTGACCTTCCAAGAGAATATTGTAAGTAATATCATCTGGAAACACACCCAAATCAAGCATCGATTGCAATAACTTACTTGCATTTTTCATTTGCCCTAATTTACACAATCCATTCATCAACACATTATATGTTATAATCCCTGGAACAACTCCATCCCTACGCATCTCCTTCAACAACTGAAACCCCATTTTTACATCTCCCTTCTTACAAACCCCATCAATAACCATAGTGTAAGTTGCGTCATCAGGTTTCAGACCCAATTTAGTCATTTCCCTCAACAACTTTTCTGCATCAACAACTAGTCCTTCCCTACACAAACCCGATATAAGAGCTGTGAATGCCACATCATCAAGCTCAATGCCTTCTTTCACCATTTTTTCTTTGACTTCAAGTGCTAATTGCAAATCTCCCTCCTTGCAACACCCATCAAGGAGACATGTGTATGTGATTTTGTCAGGTTTTAACCCTTCACGTGACATTTCATCAATTAGATTCCTAGCTTTGCCTATTTTACCACTCTTGCAAAGGCCATTGATAAGGGTGTTGAAGGTAATTAAATCAGCTTTGATACCTCTCACCAGCATTTTACTGTACATCTGCATTGCTAAATCGGTCTTTGAATTACTGCATAAACCGTTAATTAAGGTTGTAAAGATAACGTCATTGGGGTTTAATCCCCTTGTAGACATTTCATCGAACAACTGGTATGCATTACCTAATCTACTTTCTTTACATAGGGCATTAATCAAAACACTGTATGTAAATACATCTGGAGCAAGACTGGTCTCTTCTATAGCTTTTTTTAACCTAAACGCTTCTTCCAGTTTACCTGATTTACAGTATCCATTCAACAAAGTATTGAAACTAACTAAACTAGGTCTTAGCCCCCACTTAGTAATCTCATCGAACACCAGTTTAGCATCGTTGATCATACCTTCTTTAGAAAACTTATGCATCAATTTATTGAAAGTATATACATCTGGAGGATATCCATGTCCCAAAACCTCCACATAAAAGCCCCAAGCAGTTGAACTGGAATTAGATTTCATTAAATAGTCAAGAACTCGTCCACAACACTGTAATGGAACCCTAAAATTTTGTTTTTTCGCCAACCGAAGACATTGAATAGCATCGGAAATAAACCCATTGTCCACGTAACAGTTAACGAGAGCACCAATCACAAATTCATTATGTTCTGTACCTTTAGTATCGATATATGCTTGGAAGACAGAAGCAGCGGAGTGTTTCCCTTTTCGTGAGACTACGAAACGGAGTAAAGATTCGGATTGCAGGAACATTTGATGAGCGGAGAGGAATTTGATCATGGTAAAGTAAGATTGGATGGTGTGGCGGAATGGGGGTTGAGTGGATAGCCATTTGAAGAAGGATAAGAGGTCGTGTGGGTCAAGAGAATGTGGGTTTAGGTTGATTAGGTCGATTATGTGATGGGGTTTGACAGACGGGAGGAGTTTACGGACAGAGGTTTCGAGAGGGTTTGATTTGTTGGTGATGGCTTGGGAGAGAGTGGTGAGGAGTGGGTCTGTGTTTTGGTTGTTGGGTGATGAGGGCGGAGCAGCGTACCAGGGGGTGACAGTGGTGGCGGGGATGGAGGAGAGGAGGCGGAGGAACTGGAGCTGGAGAGGAAGAGCGCGGTGGAGTTGGGTTCTTCGGAAGTTGTGCATAGTCAGAAAGACGATTGTTGCCTCTGGACCAAGAAAAGTTAACATATCTCTTTGATAAGGAAAATGACTTCAAAGTTGAGTAAGGCCTAGTTTGTTTTGTTTTTCTACAAAAGTACTCCTTTGAGCATTTTTTTTTTCTTTTTTTCTGGTAGGTATACGTTTTTCAAGTGCACGTCTTCTTCTTCTGTAAATATGAAAAAAGACAAAAGACATTTAATCACTTTCAAAACAAACAACACTTAAGTTTCAAAATTGTTAAAGAATATTATCATTCAAGTATTTAAAGTATAAATATTACCAGTAAATTAAATTTTTTTTATTCATCATTCCACTTAAATATACTTTTTATTTAAACTAGGAAAGCGTGGGGGTTGTTTTTTGTTTGATTGTATAAACAGAAGATAGTTATATGTGAAAGTAGATTGCATCTATCTATCTTATCTTATCATATCATACTATATAATAAATAAAACATTTTTCCTTTCACCACATTCATTTGAAACTCTCATTCATTTTTCCTTTCACCACATTCATTTGAAACTCTCATGACTTTTCACTTTCTTTCTAATAATGATTATAAGTTGGTTAATAATGTTAAATAAAGATCAAACCTAAAGTGTAATCATATATAAATTAAATTTTAATATTAAAAAATATATTTACTTCTACATATAAAGTTATGTTTTTTTAACTTTTAACATATTTTACTTAATTTATTAATTTTAATATATTGTTGGATGTAAACCATTATCATTTTAAAGCTATAACTTTTGAACAATTTGTATAAAATACTTAAATTATTAATTTTTTTATAATATTACACGGTCAACTTAAATATAAATTTTAGTTTAATTTGAACAACTCAAATAATATTTTGTAAATAGTTAGAAGTGATAAATTGTAGTGTTTTTCTAATAATGATTATAATTTGGTTAATAAGGTTAAATAAATATCAAAACCTAAAGTGTAACCATAAATAAACTAATTTTCAATATTAAAATAATATCTTTACTTCTACTTATAAAGTTATGATTTTAACTTTTAACATATTATACTTAATTTATTAAATTTAATATGTTTTTGTATGTAAACCATTATCAGTTTAAAGCTACAACTTTTGAACAGTTTGGACAAAATGCTTAAATTGTTAATTTAAATATAACATTATAGTGCCAAATTAAATATAAATTTCAGTTCCACTTAAAAAACTCACTGAATATTTTGTGAATAGTTAAAAGTGATAAATTATAGTGGTAAATGCAAAAACTAAATTGTAATATCAATTTAACTCAAATATTTCCTACAGATATTTTTATAATCGTTAAAAGTTTTCAAAATAAGTAGCTTGAAATAACTTATAATAACAATAGTTAAAAATAACTCTATATAAATGATTATATTGTTACCTTTAAAATCAAAAATCAATGTTTGATTTTTAAATAATTATAATGATAGAAATTAAGAAGTTAAGCAAATAAATTTTAAAAAATTAATTAATAATAACAACAACTATAAATAACATTAAACTATATATTATATTTAATTTTATTCATGAGTAACTTGCAGGTAGAAGTCATTCAAACGCTTGAGATTATGCAGTTATAATAGATGTATATATTATCATATAAATCAAAATAATCAATATATTATATCAATTTAGTATACGAACTATTATATCAAATTTAACAACAACGTTATTGTTATATTTAAAAAAACATATATTTGTAAAGATTTCAACTATATAAGTCTTTTTGCGCAACGCGCGGGCATTCGCTTAGTATCATCATACATACTTATAAAGCTAACATTTTTTCTTGAATCTCATGCATTTGAAACTCCCTTTTTTAACTTCCTAAAATCACATTCATTTGAAACCCTCTTTTTTAACTAATGCAGCTCAAAAGTTTTCTTAATTATGATTTAACACTCAAAAGTTTTATAACTTATATTATGTTTAATTAGCATTTAGTGAAAAGTTTACTATAAAAAGGTCAATCTTTTGTGTTTTTTGTGTTATATAAAATCTTACATGTAAGAAGGATGTCATAAAAAAATGAAAAAATTTTCAATAGACACAATTCTTTTAGAACGTATTTGTAGTGATGGAGTCCCTAAAAGAGCTCTACAAGTCAAGGTTGTGGATGAATGTATCATTTTTTACTCATAATTTGATCGTGTTATATTTTTTTTTCCAGTAATATAAATAAGACCAATCAAAATCATATGTTTAGAGATATTTTGTTTTCTCAAACCATACCATTCAAAATCATATGTTTAGAGATATTTTGTTTTCTCAAACCATATTGATTTGAAACCTACATAACTTTTTATATTCCTTAATTAAAACCATTTATAATATTTATGAATTTCCAATAATTTTTTTGCATTCTCTTATTATATATGTAGTTATATTAGTACATTTTTCTTACAAAAAGTCGTCATTTGGTTGAAGATATTGTGATTCAAAAGTTTTCATATAGTTGAAGCATTCACGATCCAAATATGACGATTTGAAGAAATGGGTTATGTTACATCGATGATAATTGTAATATGATTTTTTCTTTCACCCAAAACAAATGAAGCTTTTCTATTCTTTCTTTATATTCAGTTTCTCATTTAATCTTTATATGTGATTTG